ATTATTCGATGTAATCGGTAATTAAGATCGAATTGTTCTTACGCTACGTTCGATTACGTATTATATAGTTCATCTCGCACTTTCACTGTATTAAACTTTAATGACAGACTTTTTGCGGGTGCATATATGAAATAAATATTTTATTACCGGAAAATTTTTAACTATCTTTCAATTTTCAATATTAAATATCTCAGCCACTTAATTTGAAATAAAATCTCTGCTAAAATTGAATTCAAAATAAACAAAAAAAATAAAGTGGCTCTTCAGTTAATTTCAATTTAGAACTTTTAAAGAGATCCTTTAAAATTCGTTGACAACATTTCAATTTTTAATAATAAATTCGTAAAATTAAGGGCAGTGTTTGAAATTCTCATCACGATAAATTCGACTTGAGATTGTTGAAAAAAATCCGTCATCAAAATCCGATACACGCTCTCTCGTCGTATCAAATGCCAAGAACTCGTGAACGAGTTCTCCGCGTTCTCCGCGTTCTCCACCTAAACGGGGACGTCGGTGTATGGAATGGGAACACCGCCGATGAGGCTCGGCGTAACGCAACGCTAAGTTAAAAAAAAAAATTAAGAAGGGGAGTAATGATAACAAAGCGCATGCCATGCGTTGTGGACTAATATCTAAGAAACCCAGGCATTGCGAACAGACATAAAAGAGACGTAAAAAAGATTTAGGTCGAAGACCTCGTCACATCGAGATCGATCGTCGGTGTTTTCGCGCGAGCCTCGCGGGGAGGCGATCGATGCGTATGTGTGTGTGTTTGTGAGTGGGTGTATGTGTGTGTGGGTAGGTGTGTGTACAGGCACTTGAGGTAAAAGACCGCCCGTTCCGGATACGACCAGGCCTTCGAGATCGAAAACCGCGCTCCTTTTGTAGTCTCTTATCCAGGAATCGAAACCGTTGTAATTTCCCCAAGTTCAATTTTCGACGTGAAAGAATAGAGGGAAAATGTACCTTACGCCAATCGTGATCGCGCCGTTCCGCTGGTCCGGAATGAGTACGTCGCGAAACAGCGGCAACGAGTAAATGAGAAAATTCAGCGAATTTCCGCGACGTTAAAGTTAAAACTAGCTGTGACTTTTAATTTTCAACGGCAACTTTTTAATTTCAGTGATTTCTAGGTAGAGAGTCTCTTTATCATTTTAATTACTTTAATCTTTTTATTATAAAAAAAATCATTTCACAATTTAATTTAATATTGTGGTTTTTTAACAATTAATCTACAAATGTTCCAGTTACTCCGCTCGATATTGGAGAACGGATTTGCGTATCTCTCGCGCCGAAATCTAAACCAGTTAAAATTAGTTCGATCTCGATTCCATGTCTCATCGACCGAGATTAGTGATTAATCACGATGTGGTTACTAAGTGATAATTACGGCGGCGGTGATGATGGCGGCTACTACCGGTAGCGGCGGTTATGGATACGTAAGAGCTACGGCGATAACAAATTTATAATTATATTGTAAATATAATTAGAATCATATAAAAATCGTAATGATCGCAACACACAGATCATGCGCACACTAAACACGTATCTCAAAAACTAGTCAAGCAAAACTAATGATGACTGAATAAATTCCCCAAAAAATAATATTAAGATTGTACAAAAAAAAAGAACAAATCAAAGGCAAGAGAGGAGAGAAAAATTAGACGCAATTTTCAAAAATTAAACCCAACATAAAATAATAATTGGCAGTTGTGTGAGTCGTCGTTTTTTCTTTCGGATTTTGTCTCGCGAATTAGCGTAGAATCCGACCATAGAATTATGGATTATCCTATTCTATTCGTGCGATGTTCTTTTACGAGGCAAGGAATTTCACATGAGCGAGCGGAACTCCTCGCGAAGTCGCGTCACGCACACAAGATCCAGAGGAACTTTAATCCTATAGAACGTATCCAACGTGGACAAGAGATCTGACCATGAGGTGACAAATGAATAAAGAAATTGGTATATACTCACTCCGTGAGTGCGGTCCACTCGACGCTACAAATGCTTCGAAACATTTGATTGACCAGTTAGAAGAAAAAATTTTTACTAATTGACCAATCGAAAAATGCTCCGAAGCATTTGCAGCATCTAGCGGACCTTAGCCACGGATACTTTTCTTCGCATTTCTAAACACGCGCGATATAATATCATTCAAGTTTGAGATTTTCATTTCGCAGAATTGTCGAAAAATTTATACTATAACGATTTTATATTTTATTATTGCGTAATACAAAAATACACAGAAATACAATGCATCTAAAAAAAATATAGCAATATATCTGTTGGATACAGGGTACTAGGATTAAAGTTCCTCTGAATTTCGTGTGCGTGACGCGACTTCGCGAGGAGTTCCGCTCGCTCGTGTGAAATTCGTTGCCTCGTAAAAGAACATCGCACGAACACGAATCGTGGCGTATAAGTGTCGACTTTTACGAAGGAGGAAAATGTCCCACCTCTCAAGGCCTCGATAAAAACGGATTTTTTTTTATTTTTCGTAAAGGCAAGCACCGTTGTTCTTACACGTTGTATAACTTTATAAATTTTTTTTTGTTCTGACTGCTATGATGGATCTGCGAGTTATACGAGTATACTTCGATCGCGTTTGCTTAATCGCTCTAATATTCTTCTCTCCCTCCCTTTTTTCGCTCGTCAATCGATTTTAGAACGTTCGTTAACTTCCTTTTTGTAAAAATCAGAATCGCAAAAGACGTGAAAAAAGTGATGACTAAAAAAGTCTCGTCTCTAAAAAGTACTTTCGACGTGTACCGATAGGTCGAACTCGGCAAACAAGCTCCGGATGCTCCAATTATTTACGTACTCGAACGGGACACGATTATTACATTCGCGTATTCGTGCGCGACTTAACACGAGTTAAGCCGCGATTCTAATCGCAGCTCTTGTTTCGTCCCCTTAATATCGATTATAATATCCTTCCTTCTCGTTGGTAAACTTTGCGCGTGAGTGTGTATAGTAGGACAATTCAGGGCAGTAGTACTCTCTTACGGTCATTAACCTCTTATAGTCTCACGCTTGTATAGTTCATATCTATATCCGATATAAATCGTTAAATTTACTGCTCGAACCAACCTATATGTAGGGGAAGCACATTTCTTCTCTCTTTTCACCTATCGATATAACATACAATACAAAAGTTTCGTAAACTCCAAGGGTTGACGAAGCATAGTCGTGACTTATGTATCTTAGCTCTGTTTAAAAAAAGTGCATATATAGATCTGACTTTAATTAAGAAACAAAAATTATAACGCGCGAAATATAACTGGTGCAGCACGTTATTCGTTTTGGTTACGTGAATTCCATCGCACCACTAAGAGCGGCGCGAGGGAACATTATCCTTGCGCACTGTGGCGGCACCCGTTTCTTACAGAAGTCTCACCAAAGTATAGCCTTAACTTATACATGAAAAAAAAAAAGAAAAAAAAAACAAAACGTACCAGTACGTTTATACTAACACGCAGTGAGCATTTAACAAATACGTATAAATACACTTCGCATCACGACTTTTTCACGACTTCTTCCTTACAGAAACCCACTTAAACGCTATATCTCTCTCTTTATTCTCTCGGAATGTAGACCGGCGAACGTATCAATTTACTCTTCGTTGTCGATTCGTTTACTGCTAAATTGGATTATATAAATGAACGGACACAATCGTGTACAAATGTCCCGCGATCAACTTTCATCGTGTCTCGCACGAAACCTTTTTTCAACGGAAATATACGCATTCGTATCCGAGAGATTCAATCCCAGGTAATTCGATCAGATTCGAACGAAACACGAGAGTCGCAGGAAATCACGAAAGAGGGTGTGTTTATATTAAGTGGAGCTATGCGTGTCACTTTTCGTCCATCGTGGTGTCTCGCTTGTACTGTCGGCCTCGCGAATTCGCCTCGCTTCCTATCGCGTGCGTTCACGACGGAGGGAGGATTAGAGCGCGAGGAGCAAATATCCCTGACGGCGACTCTAAATGGCTATAGATAGGAGCATTACTGCTGCGGTAATGGCGACGCCGGTCTTGCAAGTATCACCAGCATTACTGTAGTCCTCAGAGCCCGTAGAGTCTGAATGGATAAAAAGGCTCTGTGTAATAAAAAAGATCTTCCCCGCTCCAAGTACGGATGATGCCGTCGTCGCGTAAAACATTTTCTTTAACATCTCTACAAGCCCGCCGACGGTCACCGGGTAGCTTTAGCTAGCTGGTGTCTTGCGTAGGGTTAAGGGATCTGAGGACTTCTTCAAATCCTGTAATCTTGATTAACGCCAGAAGGACCAGAGGGGGCTTGTTCTATCTTTATAATAAATAACTTTACATTCTACGTAAAAATAGAAGGGTAGAAATTACGTACCGTGTATAAAAAATCGCGATCGATTTGATCGAAATTACTATCGCGAGTATTAACGTAAAAATTGTCTATTCCTGTAAATGTACGTTTTATTAAAATAGTAAGATATTATATGCTCATACTCACAAATAAATATAAAAATTTTCTCTTTATCATTTTATGCATTCTACTAACATTAATATTAAATTTATAGAACACATAATTGCTTAAAACAAATAAAGTTAAAATGTTTAGCGGATAAAATAAATATTTAGGCCTTTCTGACGATTACAAGATCGTTTCGCCGTCGACGAAACCAATTAGGAAAGTTATTGAAAAAAAAAAATAAAAAAAAATAAAAAAGATAGTTTAACTGAGTGGAAACCTCTTAGGCGAGGAAACGAAAGACCTCAAATAACCCTTTTCCCTCCCTCTTGAATGAACAAAAATAGGGGGCGACAAACTGACAAACGATTTGAAGATCGCGAAGAAAAAAAAAATTCAGTGCAGTAGCTTCGTGCACATATATATAAATTTCAAAGGGAATTATATATCTCGAGTGGAAATCATTACGAGAAATGTAGATACGTCATGGCAATAATTATGTTATGGATCGCAGGAACACCGAGAATTAATTGCGAAGGGCCACTAACTTACCTCTAGCCGTCTTAAATTTCATGTATCCAGGTTTGCTGTAGCCCAACATGTTGTGAGCCTGCAGCTCAACCGCGTAGAAGGTATCGTATCTCAGTTCCTTAAGGTACTGTCTCGTCGTCCTGCCATTGACCTCTATCGATTGGCAGGTGCTCCCCAACGTCTCCCAATCGCCGAGGACACGTCTTATCTGGCAGTACTTGATCAGGTACATGTCTATGGGTTGGCCATTGTCGAGCGGCGTCACCCAGCTGAGCTCGTACTGTTGAGAGAATCGAGAGATCTCGTATTCGTTGCCTGGCGTGGTCAGGATTCTCGGCTCTTTCGGCACCGTTCTTCCCGGCGTGATCTCGCGGTAGAAGTTACCCCAGTTACCCAGACCGACCTGGTTCCTCGCCGCGAATCGGAAATCGTAAGGCGTCTGCGGTTTCAAGCCATCGATGGCGTACATGGTACCTGGGGAGCATCGTTTGCTTGACATTTATTATAAATGAAATAAACTTGAAATAAAAATACGCTAAATCACACGAAAGTAAATAACATGGAAAAATAATTAAAAAGATGGCATAATTTGACTAATATATTTATGTCAAATAACTTATTATTTTTGTACTTGTAAATAAATACTACCACAAATTCTAAATTGAATTTATTTTGTTAAATATTTTATGTCTTGATAAATAAAATTGAAATAACTCGCAACTATTTTGACGAGTAGTTCATTAAAATTGAAAGAATATATATTTAAGGCTTACCGACAGACCACGTTTTGTTTTTCGCGTGCTGCCAGACGTCATACTCCTCTTTGTACTGCACGGTGAGAGAGGTGATAGGCAAATCCGGATGCGTAGGTGGTATTAGATCGAATGTTATCGTCGTGGCAGTGACCTCGGCCATCTTGACGCTCAAGAGTTCGCCAGGTTTCGTCGCTTCCCTCAAATCGATCAAATGCTCCCGCGTGCCGTGAGTATTCATGGCGATGCACTTATAAGTGGTATAAAATCTCTGGTCGATCGGTGTTACTCGGAGGGTGGAATTCGGTCCGTTTCCGAACTGCTTAAACATATTGGGGTAGTAAATGAGAGGATCCTGATCTCCATGTACGGTCCAGCGTATCGTCGCGTTCGGTATGCTCTCGGCGATGCAGGTGAGATTGACTGGTCGCTGTTCCCAGGACCATTCCGTCTCGTTCTTCATGTGGCGGAAGGAGGGCGGGAACTCCACGGTCAGATGGCCGTTCTTGTAGGCGACGCCGCCGGTATTTTTCGTCACGCATTCGTACAGGCCGTCGTTGTCGGTGAGAGCGTCATGGATCGACAGAGTGCCGACGGTCTCGCCGGACACGTCATCCGCGTCGTTCCTCACGACGATCCGGTCGTCCTGCGGCTGAGCGCCCATCACGTATGGCTTGTCGTGGGTGAATTTCCTGAAGGTCACCTCGGGTGGTGGTCGGCCGAAGGCCTTGCATTTGATATCCACGTTTTTACCCTCCACCACGGTCTTGTTCAAGAACTCCATGATTTTCGGCTTGATAATCACGTTCACCTGGATGGTGGCAGTAGCGATGCCGGCGGCGTTCGCCGCGCTGCACTGATATTCGCCCACGTCCTCGCGATTCACATTTGTGATGGTGAGCATACCCGTGACCGGATCGACGCCGAAGCGGTCGGTGATAGATAGATTCTGTTGAGTTAAAGACTTAACCCACGTGAACATTGGTGGCGGTTTGCCGCTTGCTTTGCACGCAATGTTCGCGTTTTCGCCTTCGACGATGTCGACTGGACTCAAGATCTCTTCGATCACGGGTCGTATGTGCACCTAATAAGAAGTAAATGATTGATAAGGAGAAAGTACGTTATCAGAAGGCTTAAAAATAGATACAAATTTATTCAAATTTTCAGACAGATAGTCACTAAAAATTATTAGCAACAAATTAAATATATTAGCAAATTAATAGTACATTAATGAAAATTAAATCAAAAGTAATGTTGTTGTATTAACGTACGACGAATGAGTATAAATAAAAAAATATAGTCATAATTATTCAATTCATATAACATTTATATAGCACTATATAGTTTATATAACTTCTGAAATAATTTACAATTTTTTTAGTCGATGCAATTTATTTAAGATACTTAATTGTAAGTACCTCAACGCGGATAGGTCGCTCTTGCAATTCTCCCGTGGTTGGGACCGATGCGCGACATGTGTACACGCCGTCATCGGACTCTTGGACATTCTTGATCTTCAAGGAGTACGTATCTATGATGTAGTGATCATTCGTACTGATCAGATCTCCGTTGTTGTCGAGCCAATCGATCGAAGGCGGCGGCCTAGCGTGTACTTGACACTGAACATCAAAGTCTTCCCCGAGAATCGGATACTGATTTTGTGGTGCATTCTTCCATGTGATTCCAACTATTAATAACAAAGCGGAAGTTTTGTTTGGAAAAATGTTGCGACACACTGTGCAAATCTCTCGGAAAGAAAAATATGCGTATCATTTAATTATCTGTTTAGATTTAATTAAAAAAATTTTTTTACTGTCATATATATACATATATATATATATATATCAAAGTATCTATATATTTGCAAAAAACTAGGACGAAATATCCATTATTAGATATATTATGTATGTCTGCTTTATTTAAAAAGTTACGCACAATTTCCAATAACGTTTTAATCGGAAAATTTCTACTATCGTTATAAATTTACATGCACTATACAGATTTTTTGAATTGCTTTATCTCGTGACATTAATTAAATACCGATATACTCCTCGCTGGCAGATATTTTATTCTGTATCGGAATAATTTCACAAAAAAAATAAAATTAAAATGCGACAGATCCTTCAATTCTATACTCACTAATAGTATCAATCGTCACGGACTTGCTTAATGGCACATTAAGCGCGTAAGTCCCTTTACACGTGTAGTTCCCTTGCTGATGCTCCACAAGGGAATTAAAGAACAGAGACAGACTACCATCCTGATGCAATTCGGTGTACATGGGCGGCGTCGTGCTCTTCGTTCTGCAAAGAATAACGTCGCAGTTGGCGAAACAATTCGCGATAACGGTCAAAAGCACAACCAATGGTAATGATGATAATGATCAATGACATCGCATGGTGATATTGCGCGTTCATACATGTTCTTCGTATGGATGACGCGAGGATGACGTGTAAACGACGAGATGCATTCACATGACCTCGTATTATTCAACGTGGTACAGTACGGCATGGCATATCGGCATATGATGCAAGTACAGGTATATGATGATATAATGTATTCAAGCAATTTCCATATAGTGTATCGGGCGATGAGATGCCGGATGTAATATCGCGTGACGTCGACAATGAAGGTTACGAATATGGATTTTGCGGATTAAGAAGGTGGAGGTGTGATAGGGCTGGAGAAGCGCGGCTGCTCCGTGACCGCATTTCCGTCTTCAGAGAATGGAAAATCGTCGGAAGCACGTGTGTCGAGAATTCAATATCTCGAACAGAATAATATATGGAAAATATCGTAAACGTCCAAAAATTAATTCGTTATCGCGGAGCAGCCGAGTTATATTACGACAATCACGACACACGAACATAAAGGTAGGCGATTGATGATGAATGATGTGAGAAGAAAGAAAATATGATACTGTTGTGACAGTCTGTCAATTATTCAAAACGATCGAAAAATCCCGACAAAAAAATTTATTATTTAATTTACGGTCCTAATTTATAGCCCTTTCTCAAACGTGGACGGCACGTGAATTTTCTCTGGCTCAATTTACCCTCGACTCGTATCGATTCTCGTAACAGCCTGTACATATTCACGTAATGGCACGTATGGAGAACGTATAATTGAGTGGCGCAAATTGCTCGAAAACGGGGCGATTTTGTCCGGGAATGTCACACGCGGCACTCTTGACGACGAATGTACTTAATTATGCAAATCGTACTCCGAGTTTCGAGTAATCGTGCAAACACGCGACACGACGAATCAGTTACCAGGGTTAACGTTCGTTAGATTATTTGATCGCTGGATTAAATACACTTCGCGGTACGAGAGACACGCGGCACATATATTAGCCGTTAGCGATATCGGACAGACTTGCACGAATAGAGACATAAATATTGCAGATGAGGGTGAAATAATGTTTGCGAGTATGCACATAATTGCGCCATTATGGAGCTGCTTAATTACTGCTGATGCACACGGACGCACGGATACACGTACGTACATACGCGGTGCCCTAGAAAGATCGTGTTTCATTTTTAATCCTGTGAACCCGAGCAGTTTAATTATAAAGCTAGTTAACATTCAAAAATTAAAGAGCTCGAGCCAAATAAAATTTCAAGAATGAAAATAAACGCGAAAATAACTTTCAAAAGGTTTTAAATAAATTTATTTTAACACAAGTTAAAAAATTTAGACTTTCATATGCTCGACGTTATAAAAATTTACGTGTCGTCGAAATGAATCTCTTTCCCTCTTCGCAACAAACGAAGTCTCCAAATTGTTGACACAATTCAGAAATTTGAAGGAACAATAGGACACTCTCTAGGTTACTCTATATGCACGAACGTACATAAACGAAAAATTCGTCCGATGAATTTTTTTTCTCCCCGGGCCAACGAGTTTCCTCGCTTCGGCATGTGCGGGTCGGTGCTCAATAAGTCAGGTTCGGTATACACCGATGCGAACGTTCGAAACTTTTCCGGCTTAACGAGCGATAGCCGGTTCGCGAACTGCAATCGGCTCGCGTTGCAGCAATTAAGAGAGCTCCGTGGCGCGAACTGCGGGAAACGTGGCTAGATCGTGGGAAAATGATTGTATCGAACTCGAGGGAGGCGAAGTGACGGGTGAATGTATCCGCAAATGCGAAAGGTGGAAACAGGAGGAGCGGCAAACAGAACGAGCACTACTATACGGTTGCATGTTTAAGGTCTCCAATTCAATGGATTTTATACTCGCCTGTCGATTCTAGAATTGATCGGCAAGACGGAGTTTCTGTGTATGCGTTACAAATAACAGAAATTTTCGTTGAATTAGTGTTGCTTTCCACAAAGCTTTTCTGTTTTTGTGCGTTTAATACGTTAATATTTTTGTGTTAAATTAAACGCTTTACCATACTTTTTAGCTAGTAATTTGCGCTCTCTATAAAGATTTATGTCATTAATAATCGTGACTGAAATTTACAATTTCATGTTGTGAAATTACTTTGAGACGCATGACGTGTATAATTATTATTGAATTGTAAACATTTTACTCGCGATCTTAATCAAAAGAAACGTCATTTTAAAATTATTTCATTACATCGCGCGCGCTAAATTTTATTTTTCAATTAAAATAAATTTCGCAAGTACTTTAACGATGGCTTGACATGAGATATATTATTCGCTAGGAGTGTAATTGATTAATACAGCAATTCGTATGTAAATATCAACGATACAAAAGGAAGAGAGTCTCTAGATTCATCATTCTTATAATTGCTTGTACGTAACAAGCTCGTCAGAAAAGGATCGTATAGCGCTATAACAGTGTTGCGCGGCTTATATCTCCGACTAATTAACTGTCAACCATCTCGATTGCTAATTATAATATAGATAGAGAAGCGCCGTTGACACGACCGCTTTCGAGTCATCTTGAAAATTTATTTATAAAGCGAAACTGTCGGTGTGATAATCGACTTACTTGCGAGTCTCGATCACGCGGTTCTCCGGGTCGAGCCATTCCATCTGACTGACAAGCGCCGGATTGTCTACCTTTGGTTTGCACGTAAGGATGATGCTAGATCCGACCGGCTTCGACTGCTTCTCGCCGCGCGGCAAAATGTCCAAGTACGGTTCTATTGCGTTCGTGTAAGCTGCAAGAAAAAAATCACGAATGTTATTAGGCTGACAAAAGAGACCAAGTGCGTGCGTGTATAACATGTTTATGTGCAACATGGTTGCTAGGGATCGACGGAAAATACCGGTTTCGATAATGATATAATTAACGGAGCATTATGACGATCGTCACATTTATTTCTGTAAAAAATGCAAGAACTGTGAGCGTGCAATGGTTGCGCTCTCATCTCTCGCAATTTTAAACAGACACTTATTTTAAGTATGCAAATTTTTAGTTACAAAAAGTGTTTTAAACCTTTAAAGTTTTTATAATTTATATTTGCATATCTTGTTCTAATTTATTATCATAATTAATTGTGTGTGAAAAATTACGCAAAAGTGAACAATAAACCGTCGAGTTTACCATATTTTTCAGTAAATTATATTTTAATTATAAGCTTGAATAAAATTTTAATTCCTTTCTTTAAAGATATTAACATTCCATATATATTTAAAAAACAGACGTGTATGATATATTAATTAAAAAATATATTTAATAATAAGAGAAAAATAATTTTCAAATTTCTAGATGTCCTCCTAAATTTGTCACATTAAACCCATTACAAAATAACGAGCAAATAAAGATTAACCTGTTGTTTTCTTAAGTTCACACAATTTGAAACAACTCTCCGGAGAGATAAAGAGACCGCGCGGTTGCAGTCTTACCCACGCGAGTCGGACGAGGCGACACCGCCCCCGGCAGCAGCGGGGGTGGCGCCGTCATCACGTAAATGCACAACACGGAGAGGCAGATCGGCGTCGTCTCGGCGCTCATGGTCGCGTCGCGTTAACGGAAAGCGCCTTCGGGGACCGAGATGCGTGCGTGAACTATGACAACGGTATGCGAGCGTCGTCGGAATGCAGGCGTGCGCGACGGGTGCCCCCGACACCGTCGGTTCGGTCCGGCTCGGCGTGGCAGCGGGCATAACAGGAAGCGGGAATTGAGCTAATTAATTGCGGCGAGCGAAAGTGCGGAATTGCCCTAACTGGGAAACGCTCCGTGACCTCCTCCTCCTCCTCCTCCTCTTCTCCTCGCCCCGCGTCATCCGGACGTAAACTGCATCAGGGGCGTAATGCAGAATAGATGCTCACTCGCCTGTTCTCCCTCTCCCTCTCTTTCTCTCTCTCGGCGCCCCAGCTCTCTACGAGCTCATTAGCTCGTTAACTTCGCGCACGTGAAACCCGAGTTACCTGACGAATGGAAATGACGGCGCAACGAGGGAATCATTATCGAATTTACGGCGGGCCTGGTAGCCGCAGCAACTGAAACTACTCGTTAAGTCCGTGGGAATTTCTCGAGAGTCACGTGGAGAAGCGCCGATTCCCGATTACATGCGGTTAACTACGGAGCTTAAAGCGCGACGAGTGCTTGCCACATTCGCAACTGACGGTCGATTTCCGTTTCGCGCGGATTAAGTGGGACTTGTAATGGATTTGCGTACCGCGTTGTATCGGCAGCCAATCGCTTCCCGCACACGTGCATGACACCGATTGTCAAATTGACAGCGCGAGCGTTTCACGGGAGAAAAATCGAGCGATCAGTGGGGGGAAAAAAAATATGTATATATTTTTTTTGTGTGTGTAATCCGACGCAAGCACAATACGATGAGCGAGCCGTGTAATCGAAACACGGGATCGGGGCCAGTTCGCCTAAATAATTCTCTTTTTTTTTTCACTAGGCGCGCAAGAGCGCGGCGCTGTGTAACAGTTGATCTCGTAAATACTGAAACCGCGCAGTGGTGGATGCTGCGAAAATAATTGAATACGGATTAAAAAAGCGGGGCTCGAGATAGTATGTACCGGGGCTATGCCGCTGATGCGAGCGAGCAGCTCGCGTGTGACGCTGATCGCGTCTGACGTAATCGACAATGGCACGAAAATTGAAACCCGCCGCAAATTGCCGGCGGAAAAAAAGTCGATCTCTCCCGTTCCCGCGCCGCGAAAAACTCCCGTGCCGTTGGTAGATATCAGGAGACTGAACAAAAATACGGTAAAAATTTTAAGCGAAATTCAAAGACGTCGTCCCAAAAAGGATAATGAGGCGGTTTCAATTCTACCTTTCAACTGTCACCTGTAAAATTGATTCCGGATGGCCCAGTTTTCTCTCTCAGAGATTTTATCTCTAAATATATATCTATTAAAAAAATAATCGTCTCGCAAAAATAAATATGTCATAAATATTGCATTTGCCATTAATCCGCCGCTTCTGTTTATCCTTCCTTTTATCTTTTGAATCAATTATTTATTATACATTTATTTTAATTACTTTTGCCATATTAAATTTTGACGATAATACGCTTCGTTAAAGATATTTCCGGTGAAATCTGTGCGAGATGATTATTTTATCGCGGATAATACAAATGCACCGTTTGAGAAACCTAAGAGAGAAAGAGAGAGACCCGTTAATTTCTGTAATAGCCCGCGCAAGGACGCGGAAAGGTTACAAACCTTCCTAACAGAGGAACTTCCTTAATTGGCCTAAGACTCATCGGGATGAGTTCTTGCGTGCGGTCAATTAAAGGATCTCGCCTGCGCGTTTCGCTTCGCCCTGCCCTCCCCCCTTCCCCGCAAATTCGGGGGGGATTTTAAGCTGCTTTTACATCTTTCTGTAAGTCGAAACGACCAATTGAATCTAACTATGCAACGGGTACGACAATCATGAGACGGGCATACTAAATATTTTACAATAAATTTCTATAAAAAAAAAAACATTCAATTCGCGCTGCTCATTAAGTCTACGCTCGCTTTTAAAAAACTTTTTCAAAAGCTTTCAGTTTGCGTACTCGTATTGACGTACGTAATCTCTCGAATATATCACATTCTTTTTTTATATAAACCATAGAAAACATGGAATTCTTCGTCGAATTTATTTCGAGTAAAAATATAAGTGTAAAAATAACTATGGCTGAATTGATCAAATTTCGATTAAATTTTGTTATACTTTCTCCAAATTATTTATATTACAATTAAACTGTAGGCATTTCATTAAACTATTGTTTGATTGTACTGGTAGAAACTAACACATTCACGTCCCAACTTTAAATGTGCGCGATAGGAAGCGAAGTGCGCCTTCTCGTTTTCTCGAAAATTCACACGTAAGAGGTCGAGCTTACAAATTGCGATAAGTTTCAACGGTACATTCGAGCTGAAGTCTGTATCTAGGAGGAGCATCGTGATAAGACACTGCAACGTTCGCTTAACGCCACCGGCATTTACATCGCGAAGCTTTGCTTGAACTTCGAACTGGGCGAATGGTGAGAAATGTGTTAAATCTTCCGAGTCGTCGCTAATTGTCTCCGACCGTGCATTACGTACAATAGCCACAATCAAGCGGCAGTCGTTTTGATTAATGACTCGACTTTAGCCCGAAAATATGCTTTCGTTCTGCTATCGAGCCCCCGATCTCTCGAAGGGCTATCTCGAAACACAATGGGGGGAGGGAGGAATTATAATTTTGGCCAGCTGTCATTTCGGTAGCCTGTGCGCACAATGGCGAAACTCCCTGTACTAGAGGTCTTAATTTTGCTCTCACGGCTCTGTCATTTCCGATAAGAGATTTCGTATATAATCAAGAGAGGGGCGAGTCGTTAAGGATTACGTCCCCGAGAGCATTGTCTCTGGTTCGTAAGGACAGCTTATTTATTTGCCGTTCTCGCACACAGTCATGAAACGTCATTTCGTCCTCGCGATAAGACTCGCAAATTCATCATTTCCGGTCCGCTTAGGCGAGTGGGCGGGTAGACTAGGGTGAAGATTTTCCTACAGTCACTTGGGCGTCTCGAAATGTGTTTCACAAGGAGGGGGGCAAGCGAGCAGACGGTCCCCCCTCGAACAATGGCAAGACATAAATCGCAATTATGTTTCCGGCGCACTGAACTTATTCGATTTTATCTACGCCGAGTTAACTCTCAGCGATAAAAGTATCCGATCAAGTTACAAGTCATTAGATTGTTAACAGAATTAAATATTTTTTTTTCACAATAATTACAATCTCTATCTTGTATAACATCTATAAAAGTAATTTCTCTAAATACAGCTGTTCTAAAGAAAACATACTTTTAAATATTTAATTTCCTGCTATTTTTACATTGTAGCAATCATTCTTATAAAAATCGATCCGTATTAAAATTCCAGGTTAATTTTGATTAAATTAAAACACCCGATTTAATTACCTGTCTTATTTATATAATATCCGATTCTAAAAAAGATCATAAATTTTGTTGCATAATGATAATTTAATACAAAAAAGATATATAATTGGAAATTTCTTAATTGCTTCTGTAATAGATTTTCAGAAACATGTTTGTTTGCATCTCGTGAAGAGAAATCATCGCGTTCGCGTTTACAAAAAAAAGCGCTGATATCATGATAGATCATTGCTGTCGCAGAAAAATACACTATCATTAATTGCTCGTTAATGCCGTATTCAAAATGTATTCGTCATTACGCGCGAAACCCGCCTGTTCATCGTCGCGATGCGCCATTATATCGTCGTACGAAACTCATTCGGCGTGAACCGCCGAAGAGAGCAACAATACGGAGGGTTGTTCCTGGGAATCCCCCCATTTTCGGCCTACACCTCCGCCTCTCTCCTTCCCCCCACTCTCCATCCCTCGAGGGCATGCGCTCGGGCAGATTCTATAATCGTTTCACAAATTCGCCCGAGTCACCGCGCTCCGCTTCTTCTCGCCACCCCGCGTTTACAACGGTGTACCGCATCAGCCATTATCCACCCTTGAGACTCGCAAATTCATCGTTTCCGGGGCGCACACCGCGTGTTCATCCGTGGGGGAAGGGATACACGAGGGACGTGGCAGGACTTTTCCCAAAGATCTTCGGGAAGAAATGCCGTAATTGACTGGGTTCATCGGGGTCGGCTTTGGTCGCCTCGCGAAATTGGCAGATTGATACATTGATGATATATTATATTTCTTTTTGTGACAAACATAAATTAAAATATATATAAATGTACATAGAA